CAGTATCATCCAAAACATACGACTCATATCTGTCATCACATGCTATGCTGTGCTCTGTGAACCTGGTTAATATGAATATGATATTTGGAGAAATATGATGACTAAGTATGGTTTTACACCGCTTTTAGACTTTTCGAGGAATATGACGGTGGGGACACCAGAAATGGGCTTCAAACATTGTAGCCATGTAGGGAATTGAACGCGGGTCTTTCAGCATGACAAGATGTTTTAACCACATGGCTAATCTGCTTCTCTGGAAAAAAATGATGCTAACCACTGATATGTTGATATGTTGTGGTGACAAAGCCAACAGAAGCATGAACAACAACATTTAACATCCTAGAATCAGCCTAATGCTTTTGTTTGTTTGTTGTTCAACGCTACACTCAGCAATATTCCAGCTATATGACAGCGGTCTGAAAATAATCAAGTCTCAGGGACACACAATCCAGTGATTGACAACACGAGCATTGACCCACGCAAATGGGATATGATGACATGCATCAACCAAGTCAGTGAGCCTGACCACCCAATCCAGTTAGTTGCCCTTCCTACAAGAACGACCGTCGCCGTGGTCTAGTGGTAGAGTGTCCGCCCGGAGAGCGGAAGGTCAAGGGGTTCGATCCCTGACCGCGTCATACCAAAAGACGTTAAAAGATGGTACTTGTTGTTACCCTGTCTGGCGCTCGGCATTAAGGGGCTAAAACATGGACTGGTCGGCTCGGAGTCAGTATACTGTGTCTGAATGGGGTATTCATGTTAAACTGCGGCATGGTAGCTCAGTGAGCTAGCACTATAAATCGGCATCAGTCCAGACTAGTACAAGCAGCCACACACACACACGTGCATGCACGTCGCTATATAAGTGCAATAATCTTGGATGCGACGTTAAACCCCATTTCACCTCACCTCCTACAAGCACAGTCGCCTTTTACAGCAAGCATGGGTTGCTGAAGACCTATTCCACCCCAGATCTTCTTTTGGGAATGCATATGCAGCTACGGCAATATTGTTGCAAAACAGTATTCTGGTTCAAGGTGTTTTTCAGAGTATTTCAAACAGAACACTATTGAGAAGTCTATTATCTGTATAAACAATGAAAACCGGGCCAGGATTAAGCATTTGAACAAAAATACCTGTGGAAAGACATTTCACCATGTGATGTAGACATGAGCATGTCTTAACATGAGACACATGTACACCAAGAGCACATTAACGAAAATACCACATCACAAACATACATTGTAATACCCCACATACTGATTCAATACCATCCTCCCCATACCTTTACCTCCTTCACACAGCAATACTAATGTGTACAGCTCCCTAACACCAACCATCACCAGCCCTGTGTTCTGTGTGTCTCACCAGGGACTGCCAGACAGACAGACTGATCATGTCCTAGCCAGACCTGACATAGGAGGGAGGACAGGGCACCTTGTCAGCCAATGCATGACTGATGGCTGTGTGACAACAACTTGTACAGGTGGCAAAGTCCTTGTCATAACAGACTTCACTGATCTCATTGTTCTTGTACTATGTCTATACCACATGCATCCTGTTTGGCTGAAACTCTTCATGCTCCTTGTGTTTCTTTCAAAACATGTAAAGTACGGGTAAGCTTGTCATGCAGTTCATACCAATGCATACAGATGCTGCACACAACCAAACAATCAACCTTTACAACTTTACTTTGTACAAGTCTTCTGTCACGGCAGTTCTGAGTTTGAAATTATTTAAATAGTTTCATCAGTCCACAGATATATTTTGTTTCTGTATGTGTCTACAGGAATGTAAATTATGTATGTCTGTATATATGTATATATAAATCATAATGTCTTGTCTTTTAAAATTGCATCTGTCCCGTAATGGAACGTTTCTGCAATAAATATTATCTTATCTTATCTTATCATTTGCTACAGGGTTGCCATTTACTTAATGGTCATAGTGGTAGTCCACAAGGAAATGTCACTTCATGAACTGGACTAGCCTCGGACTGGTGGACCTATGTTCATTTCGAAACCCTGCAATTTAATGCTCTTTCAATTGCAAGTCTGTGGGAATCTTGTGATACCGTTAACTTGTTATTTGTATTTTGAAGATATATATTTCTAAATATGACTTTTTCTGGGACTAAATGTTAGTCTAATGGGGACAGAACAATGACTTGCATCTGTGGGAGAAACACAAGATCACCATCCTCCTCCCGATGCAAGAAGCTTAACTACCTCATCCCTCCACAACATAAAAGCACACCTGTGAGAAATAAATTCCGCACTAAAAACATTTACTTTCTCCATGTTCTAAATATATCTAAAAAAATTCACAGATACCGCTTCACACAGAAGTGAGTCACTTGATAGGTTGATACCAGCTTTTTAACCTTTTTCATTTTCATAATGATAAAGACATGCTTTAACAGCATGTACAATGCCATGGCTACCATGAAACCCGATCTTCTCCCGGACCAATGACTTTCCCCTGTTCTCAGCGGCATCAAGTTACATCATTCTACCTGAGGACTTGGAATGTGGAAATAGTGAAATTCTTATATATACATGACATGAGACAAAATTAATACAGTTAAGCAGCTAATATCAATAAATACGCTTTAAACATTATCCAAGCACTTTTCAGATGTGTTCAGACCGTCACACGCAATAATACAGCGATTGTTGAAAATACCACTGCAATACTATGGTCTCTGTGCTTTGAGCATAATATTTGAGTATAGAAGAATGTGCATATTGAATGAACTACTAACTACAATGAACTATTAATTGCAATGGTGGTGTAATTATTCCACTGGTATTGCTATGTACAATAAAAACCTTTTTCTTACCATAAAATCTAGACTTCCTTGTATTACTTCAGTCTCATCTATCTCTGATGTTGTCTGATATTAATTGAACACGTTATTAATGGAATTTTCTCACTCTTAAAACAAGGTGTATTTTGACCTCTTCTGATAGCAATGGACGGAAAGTTAATGATGAACAGATTTCTTTTTACATTTATCATTTTTGTAAAAACTGGATTTGAAAATTAACAGCATTTCAAAGTCTGTGAATAGAGCTGGGAATCTTTGCCAATAGCCTTTCACTGGCAAGCAATCTTATACACTTTTGATAAACTATTTCATGCTCATAAAGTGGTGAGGTAACCAATTAAATTTTTATCATGATTGATGATAAGAAAGTCAAGGGATATCTGTCACATTATAACCCTAAAAGCTAAATATCAAAGGGTGCTTAAATTCAAGTACCTTTAGAAGAAGACCTCAATGACCAAGGGCCCAGCGTACTTCAAACACCACTGTAAGATGTCAAGGAAGTAGTAGTGTAAGTCCACATATCTGGGCTATCTGATAAGAGGAATTGATCCTATTACATGCTACAGTTCAACATACTAGATAATTCATGTAGTATGCACTGTCGAATGAGGTGTGTAAGATCTATGGAGGTCTAATACCCATAGAGTCAGATAGTTGTCTAGGCAAAACCAATATACATAAGGTGAAAATAGGAATTGATTACTCTGATGAAACTGATATCCTTGTATGATATTTTCATGTTAATCTTGCAGAAAACAATCAATGAATATGTCAGTTGACCAACAAATTGGTCAAATCCAACTCATTCTGTGTTCATTTCCGACCAGTGGTTTATGTAACCTTACCAGGCTTTGGGAGAAAACAATTCGTTCATCTAGATTTTCACAAATCTCGGACCAGACAAGTTTCAGCATGGCAGCATCAAACCATGCAAATTCTGATTTGTTTCTTCAATGCGAAGAATATATTTAGATTGTGACCTTTATTCTCACAAAAAACACCCACCGTGTTACAAGAACATATTCAACATTTCAGTTATGTATTGCATAAAACACATGACAAGTTGGTATGACGGTAACCATGGAGAACTATTTCCTGTTTACAGTATTAAATATCAATTCAATAAAATTAGACATTTTTAAGTACCTTTAATATTAACATAAAAGTTTGTCATAATTAATAATATTCATCTAAATATATTGATCTTTCTATCTAGAGGGTGTTACATTTAAACAGAGGATGAAACTCATCTCCAATAGCTGGTCAATTGCAGAGGTGGCACGTTCGATCCTCCCGGAATAGACCATGCCATAAGCCAGACTCTACACTGTAACAGGTCGATTACGATTTGATGTTCTAAATTTAAGTAGGGGGTATGAAATAATTATTAGGTAAAGATAATATTCTTCAAAAGGAGGCAAAGTTTTAAAGGAAGAATAGAAGTTTCCCTTAGAGCTTGACCATAAACTTAATATAATATCAGATGCAAAACTCAATACTTTTTCACAAACTGACAATGATAATAACTGTCAACCCCATGTCACTAACAATGGAAGTGAACTATGTGTTGAACAATGTTGCACTCACCACACACCAAGGATACATATTGTTTTTGATAACAGAGCCATGTGTGTGTGTGTGTTGTATATAAACACAACATACACTGGAGAAGTAACTACAGTTCAACACACTGCAAGGTTTGTTGACCTTACCAGCAACTCACTACTGACCCCTGACTTCTCCTCCACCCCTCAATCATATCACGTCAAGCACTAAACTCTGATATTTGATGAAACCATCAAAGAGATATCTTGGCTGTGGTTCAAGACTGACAATGATTGCAGGTGCAGAAGAATGAGATTCTTGCAGTTTCTAAATACCAAAACATTCCTGTTATCAGTGATGGAATTTTAGGGGGCCCTGGTGTCCTTGAGATATTCTGCTATAATATTTTAATATTGTAATCCAGAGAGTCTCTAAACATTATAAGTACTGAACTCGTCACATTACAGCCATGACAAGGATCTCTTGGCGGTCATGCTTCATTTTGAACACTGTCAATCATAAAAACCTGTCTCAACATGCTTTTGAGACACCTTGGTCAAGCATTTGACATAGAAGGTATGACACAATATCACATCGAAATCTTTAACAAAAACAATCTCACCTTTCTGCTCTGCTCATGTTGCTATAATGTCTGTGAATGACAAGGAAGGTGTAGGTATCGATGTGACACTGGTTGTCAGTGAGCATGTGACATCAGGGTATCCACGGAGGTCAGAAACTCAACTGCCATGTGTCCCCATGTACCACCTTCATATGTAGTTTCACTCCCACCTCCAGGGCAAGGCCTAACGGGCTTGCGGTGACTGCTGCCTCACAGCCAAGCAGGCAGTCTAGCAATCAGCCTCAGACAGCCTACACAAACATCTCACAGCTTGTGGCGTAATGGAGATAACTTGTACTCCACACAAGCAATCAGAGAGGGGGTAATCTTACAGCTGATTGAGACCTCGGAAAGCCTCGGGGTGGGGGAAGCGTGCCTGGGGTGGGGATAAGCCTAGGTGAGGGTCTTCATCATCAAAGTAGAGACCCAGGGTAAGCAACAGACTGGGTCACTTTGTTCTTATTGTGCTGTTAAGATTATAGAAGTAGATCCAGAGCATAGACCATACACTGTGACTTATTTGTCTGGGCCGGAGTTATTTTTATTCCCTTTCATTCATTTCAGTGTAGTGTTGATATTACCAGTGGGGAAACTTTATTGATTTTTGTCATGGAAAGTTTTTTTAAGACTTTGGAGAAATGAGAAAGTTACTCCTTTATGTGTCTGGACTAAATCAAATTTCTTGAAAATAGCCAAGTTGTCTCCAAGGTCTCTTTCTTATTTGTCAAATGATTTTCCTAATAATTGGATTTTAGAAATTTGAAAGAAATAAAAACTGTTTCCAATTAAAAACTTGAGGAATCTGTAGCAGTGGAAGTTTAAACTTTAGGCTTAATTCGATATTGTCTAAGATGAAACAAATCAGCAAGTACTTTTAAAATTGCAACTATGACTTCAAAAGATCTTAACACAAACAGTGGTGGACAGATGGACAGAACATGAAAGGGGAGGAAGAGTCAGCACATTTCTGAGAGCTTGTCAACGGCAATTAACAAATTACTTCCACAAACAGACCTCAAAAAGACTTGAGGGGAGACACACATGTACCCCACTGGGCAGTCATTGAACCCGAATCTAAATTTGCATCCACATAGACACCATGATGAAGGGGATGAAGGAAGAAATAGGGGAGGGGGCACAGTGAAGCGAGACGGATAATCTGTTGTCTAAATATACATCACAGAAGTGTGATAAGAGGTCTTAACGGGCTGGGGGATTACACTGGACAAGCAGTTGCTGATGTTTTACTGTAACACCAATCACAGCCATGGGATAAAGAGGCATGGAACCAAGGAGATTCAGTGTCCTAGAGAATAACAGGTACATGATCACAACATGCTTTCCACAGGATCAAAATAATCAACTACAGGGAATTTTTCAAGAAAAGTGAGATATGTTCATAATAAATATTCTTTCTGAATATGCTTTTAAAGGAATCCTATTCTTCAAAAATATCATCATACTTTTCTAGCATGCAAATTACGGAGCTTTAGATGATTGGGTGACCTGTATGCCCCTAGTTCTCTTGAAACACATACACTTGAACATCACAGATGTTTGCAACATACAGAAATTACAAAATGCACTAAATAGTCTTTCATCTATTCATCATGTTCATCCATCATGTCAAGTCATATATAACAAAAGAATATATTGTTGAATTTAAATAATTTGGGTATCTAATTAAGGTGACAAGTACAGAAAAATGGTATCTAATTTCATATTTTCATTGCCATTGTGTCTATGAAGATATATTCAACATATTTATAATATCCTGACAATACAAAGATTGACTGCTTTTCAACAGAGAGCCATGGTTGATCATTTCATTTTGTATGAGTAACCAACTGGTAGAGACTGTTCATAACAAAATGTAGGAGCTTGTCCTGTGCTACAATTAATAAGAACTAAACACATTTTCTTTGAAAGTGAGAAGGAATGTTTTGAGGAAAAACTCCGTTAGAACATACAAGATCTTTGAGGAAAAACTACCGTTAACTACAATCATGATGTTTGAGGAACAGCTACTGTTACAAACTACATGGAAATTGTAATTAGCAGGTTATGGCTAAGGCCATGAAGACAATCTTACAAAGCTATCTGCTACAATAACATTTTTCAGAGACATATGACAAGGCTATGGATTAACACTAGGATAAAGACAAAGACAGCAAGTATCCAGAGGTGTGATCGCTAATCTCATTATGTCCCAATACCCAGGTGGTGTGATAACGCAAGTTATATCCCTGCAGTACTGTATTGACTGTATGGTAAATACTTTGTAGTACAAACAGTGAGACAATCACACAAGGTGAAGCTGTATAATGACCTAAGGAAACACTGAAGATATGATTGAGCTACAGGGAACACTCACTGTACACACAAACTTGCAGCAATCCAATTTCAATCTGATGAGGATCCGCTGTCTAGACAGATGATTAAGCAGAGGCAGCATCACAATGTTGCACTTCCACTAGACAGATAGCCTCTATACAACTGGTCTAACCACAACATATTAAAACAAAGCCGTTTCCAACAACGCTAGATTGAAATCCATCTACAAAACACAAATGGTGCATAAACCCTCTTATACTGTACTTATTTGGTCCTAATTGCAGAAATGGATGTAAAAGTAAGAGATGTTTGACATATATTATATAGTGATTGAATGGGGTTTTATTCTAGTTGTAGCTTTCCCCTAATATCCCAGTTATATCACATCCATATCTCATCAAATCTCATCTTCATCTGATCCATATCCCAGCTATATCAGATCCATATCCTACCTTTATCTGATCCATATCCCAGCTATATCAGGTCCATACCACAGCTATATCCCCCCCAAGATTCCAGCTATATATATCAGATCCATATCCCAGCTATATCCACTCCATATCCCAGCTATATCCCCTCCATATTCCAGTTATATCAGGTCCATACCACAGCTATATCCCCCCAAGATCCCAGCTATATATATCTCCTCCATATCCTAGCTATATCCCCTCCATATCCCAGCTATATCCCCTCCATATTCCAGTTATATCAGATCCATATCACAGTTATATCAGATATATATCATTAGTGCATGAGTGTGGTTGTTACTCCATTGTTGGCATTTCAAGGTGTCAGGGACGACAATCAGTTCAAGAGTGGACTTCCCACCATGTGACATACACTTCAACCACGAGGCCATCCCACTTTCCTCATGTTCTTTAGACTGCCTCACTGAACTGTAAGCATGTTGCCTTCCAACTGTCATGTTAATAACTGTAACATATCAGCCTCTATCGGTTTTCAGTTTTAGCCACTACAACATAAATAGTACATGGTTTGTTTTTTGCCACACTCAGCAATATTACAGCTATAGTATGATGGGTGAGTGAGTGAGTTTGGTTTTAGGCTGCTTTTAGCAATACTCCCGCAATATCACAAAAGAAATAAGATTTCACACATTGTACCCATGTAGGGAATCGAACCAGGGTCCTTGGTGTGACGAGCGAACGCTTTAACCACTAGGCTACCCCACCAACCCTATTGTATGACGTGGCAATCTGGACCAAGTACACCAGTGGTTGATATTATGAGCAACAATCCACATAATCAAACAAGTCATCGAGTAACCTGATCCAATTCGTCATCTCTTATTGCAAGCATTGGTTGCTGGGCACACAGTCTAACCTGGAATCACTCATGGGAAGCTATTCCATTTAGTAGACTTAGCAGATGAGTGAGTGAGTTGGGTTTAATGCCGCTTTTAACATTACTCCAGTTATATCACGGAGTGTCAGCATAATGTGGGAGGAAAGCCTGAAGTGATGCGAGTCTCAGACGTTTACCACTTCGGTGAAACCCATGAGCACGGGTATGGTGCTGACAAACCTAGAAACATAATCGAGGCGAACCGGGATTCGAACCCACAATCATAGGTTTCTGGTGTGCCCAAGGGATGCAACTCTGCACAGCGAATCGCGGCGCCTTAGACGACTGGGCCACCCGTGCCCCCCCTTAGCAGACGACAATCCATGTGTTACAATGGGCATCTACTGAAACTGATGCCCAAAGGCATGTTAGGGGAATAGTCAATGCTTTCTTTATGTTTATATATGTTAGTGTTAGCCTTTACGATAGGAAAAGCTATTGACTTGATATATATATAAGTACTGACATCTCTAACCTATTATGAGTGCTTCGCTCAATAACTAACAAATTACCCATTTCCTTGAGTTGCAAGACTGGTGAAAGTAGTAACTGCTTTAAACAGAATTACAGTTCGTTACAGCTCCATATGGGAGGTCATTTAGTCAATGAATGACACTGTTCATAGTGCAGCCAACATTAGAATAGGAACACAATTGTGTGGACACACTTTATACTAGAGACACCATGGCTTTATTTGGATCATGCAAAATTTCATCCTTGTGATTTTTGAGTCACTGAAAATGTAGAAGTGTGCGGTGGATAATGAGATATTAGATACGACTACAGACACCTCCAGGTCAGATGACCCTAAACAGGGAAAAACAACATGAATTAGTTGTCTACTGAACACTGATGTTCTGATTCTAAAGTACATACTCTGAAATTGTACATATTGTTTTCTGGTATCTATATATTTCACAGCAGGGCCAGCAAGATATTTGGCCCCAAGTCTTCAGCAAATCAACATAGTTAAAAATTCCCAAACCAAAATTAACATTTTCCCTAATCAGTTAATGTAATAACTAATTTTATGGCTTTGTAGAGATAAATTGTATTTCCACAATAACAGGCCTAATAACAAATAAGGAAAAGGTTTTACTGCTCAGTTTTATATTATTACAATGAATACAATTTCACATTACAATGTTAAACTACCTCTGAAAATCCCAATTTTGAACAAAATAATTTTTTTCCCTAATTGCCTGCTAGGGACACTTCACCTAAAAATTGGGGATAAAACCCTGTGTTACTAATAATATAATACAATGCAAATACCGTGTTGACCTCATTTACGAAACAGCCTGAGCCAACAAAAGGACACCGAACTGAGATACATGTACATTCATGGACTGATCTGAACACAAATATTTTTGCTCTAATTGAAACTGAAAAATTTAATCAATGTTGAAATTAATTGTTGTAAACCAGTATGCGCGAGCACGAAGCCATGTCATATAAACAATGCATTACCATGCGCCATTGCAAATTCTTTTCAGCTGTCAGCAGAGGGCACATACCCCTCTAATCACTGCTCATATCACCTTGGTCTAGCCATGTCAACCCATGTAGGGATTCTGTGTCAGACTGGTCCCAGTACGTCATGCTTGTTGCAAAAGCTCACAAAAAATGAGAATATAGTGTATCACGATCTCACAAACTGACGACTCAAGTATCGTATCTACCTAAGTATCGATGGTATCGTAGGTATTGTGAATGGTTACAGCCCTTCTGGTTTGCCTGGTCCCAACTCAACTGTTTACATGCTGCTATGATACCAGCCTAGGCCTAATTCTTTTGACCCTACTTGCTCGAACAATTCTCACAACATCATTTTCAGTAGATTTAATGTTATTATATGTGTTGAGCTTACAAGGCTGAACAGAATTTTCGGGCTTCAGACTAGTGGTCTGGTTTGGTTATTGTTGTTTAATGCCGCCTTCAACAATATTCCAGCTATTTGATGGCGGTCTGTAAATAATCGAGTCTGCACCAGACAATCCAGTGATTGATATCATGAGCATTGATCCACGTAATGGGGTTGTTGTTGTGGTTTGTTGTTTAACATCACACTCAGCAAAGGTCCAGCTATATGACGGCGGTCTGTAAATAATCAAGTCTGGACCAGACAATCCAGTGACTGATATCATGAGCATCGATCCTCGCATTTGGGATCGATCCACCCAATGGGGATACGGTGACATGCATCAACCAAGTCAGCGAGCCTGACCACCGGATCCCACTAGTCGCCTCTTACGACAAGCATGGGTTGCTGAAGACAATACAATGCACAATACATATGGACCTGTATCGTGATGATGATCAGGATGATGTGTGGCCTTTGATACAATACACAATACACATGGACCTGTATTTTGATGATGATCATGATGATGCATGGCCTTTGATACAATGCACAATACACATGGACCTGTATTTTGATGATGATCATGATGATGCATGGCCTTTGATACAATGCACAATACACATGGACCTGTATTTTGATGATGATCATGATGATGCATGGCCTTTGATACAATGCACAATACACATGGACCTGTATTTTGATGATGATCAGGATGATACAATTATGAAATACTTATTTCTAAATTAACCATTAGGCTATATCTAAAGAGACATAAATCTGAGCTTGAAAGGCCATGTGCTTCCTACAAACCTACAAACAATAATCAGTGGTTTCCGGCACCCAGTGTGAAGGTTTATAGTCAATAAAAAGGTGTACCGATGAAAAGAATGAGACACCTTTATTCGGAAGACTCTACTCGAGTGTAAGTACCGGTGCGTGCATTTGTCTAAACTCCAGGCATGCAATAAAAAATCTACAATTCTTGTTTTACTAGCTTGAACTTACTTTTTACCAGTTCTCCGAGTTGTCATACAGTTGATATATCATGAAATGTTCAAAATCAGTCACATTTTAGACAAATATGTTTTCTTTTGCACAGAAACATCGTTTTCGTTGGACTTTTTGAAATTATCGTTTGACAGGTGCACATTTACTTCCTGAGCATGCGCAGCCCACCGGATGTTGACAAAATTCGCCGGAAGTGTACGTTCTACCAAGGCAATAGCAGCCGAGAATTCCATTCCAGCAAATTATGATTGTCTTCTAACCTTCATGGCATTTTCTTACACTTGCGTGATGAAACAATTTATCATGATGAATCTGATTTCGGAAGGATGTGAGTTAAATATATGAGGTTATGTCTGTAGTTATTTAAGAATGTCAACGCAAGAATATAGTCAAGTTCACATGGTTGACAATTTTGCAATTTTTGTTGTTCAGCAGCAATGTTTCAGTGGAAGTCTGTTCTGACAGTGCTTAGACTTTGGCGTAAATAACACTGTACAGTCAGGCAGGTTGAACGCAGAACTGAATGTAGCCTGCTAAGTTATTTATTTTATTAAAATTATGATCATTTATTTCAAAGGAAATGGCCATTTCCAGGATACTTGTCACTAGCCTAACTGGCAAGCCTTGGCATTTATATCAAATTCTGGTTGAAAGATATTAGTCCAAAATAACACATATTTTTCGTGTTTTTATTGAGATCTGTATATTTAGGGATTTACATGGTCTATCTTTTTTTATGTCCAGGGGACTCTCAGAAATAAATTTGTTGGCCCCAATGCATGAATATCCAAGGCTGGCATTGTTCACAACGTTCCAAATATTTCAAGAATTTTATTTTGACATATCACTAATTGGGGAATTAATGAGTTAAAGTAAAGAAGTCCAATTCTTGGTCAATCTCATTAAAATCAGATCTTGGTTCTCGCTACCGCTAAACAAAGATCTGAGGACATTCCATTACGGGTCACGTCAGACTGACCTTGCGCGAACTTTGACCGACCAATGGAATGACCAATCAGAAGGCAGCTTTCTCGTGCTTTACGGCACTATTTTCAATTGGCGACAACGCTTCAAAACATATTTTGACAAATTCTCGATTAAGAATTTGAAGCCTAAACAAAAGAACATTCTGGAATCGCTAATAGATGGTCTAGATGTAGGGATTCAGTCGTTAAACCCATAACTATCGTTGGGAACACCCCGTGTTAAAGTTTTAGAGGATGCATGATTAGAAATCACATTCCAACTGTCACTTTCATGATCTGGTAAGCGACGCTCTGATTGGTCGGATGAAAGGTCGTTCTGACGTGACCTCTACTGGGATGTCCTCAGATCTTTGTTTAGTGGTAGCGACAACTAAGGTCTGATTTTAATGAGATTGATTCTTGGTATTCAATCTCAACAATCATGACAATAAGCTGGTTCTAAAGTATCTATTTTTATGCTTGAGCCACTGGTCAGTAATTAGTCTATAGTCATTGTGATCACTTATTGATAGCATATTAACCCTAATTGTTTGTTGCTTTTGTATATGAATCATGTTTATATGGTAACAGCCAACAGTACTTGAAGTTGTTGTAGGCCAGTTGGATTATGACGACGGGCACCCTCATGATGATCTGAGATAATGATGATGTTTAGTAGATGTTATTCGTTGACTGAAGTATCGCGATCATGACAAAATGTATTGGCTGCCTTAGTAATATCATCAACTTAGGCACCATGCCTACCATGGTCAACATGATCAAGGGAAGCGAGATCCAAAATGTTCCTATGTTCTGTTTTCCAGTTATGATTTGTCTCAGCGAAAAATAAATTGCCTTTTCAAAGAATGCACATGACAATATTGTTTACACCACATGCTAATCACTTGCTAAAGTCGTAAAGTGAAGTCACATACTACTCAAAAGAAGCTAAAGAACACTCGATTTGTTCATATGATGATAGTTGATCTATCATGGCTGGTGGTTTTCTTTTACTAAGAAAGTGTTATCCCAGATATAGCATTTGTTACAGCCATTGTGTTAAGTCCCACAACAAGTCCTGAACTACTGTAGCATTCATTAGTTTTCATACTACCATGCATGGACTTCAATGTAATAAAATTGGAGCCACGTCTACATTTGCAGCACAGGCCTTTGCCACAAATCTATCATTATTATACATCCATGCTTTTACTTATAATTGAAGAAGAAATAACATTCAGAATAAAACAACTGATTTTCAAATTATTTTTTTTATATCAACATTTCCTCTTACCTCTGATTTCATTTTTTAAATTCTGACATATTTTTAGAAATATACCAAGTGAAAATCTACAATGTGTCTATCAAACAATCAGTTACTCAGCTGAAATATACTTACCAGTCATCATAGTTTGAAATAAGAGATTTACCCATATTATTCTGCCCCTTATAAAATGTGTTCCCATCATTGATACTTATGCTCTTAAAATAGTAGTAAATTACAGAAATTTGTCCCAACAAACAACAAATCATACAGACTATCCCACAAGATGTATATGATGCATAAATAGATATAAATGATAGTTGTATCTTCTTGTTTTGGTAGCATGTGTTTACAAGTTGTTTCTCTTACCACCCTTTCACTAACTATCCTGAAATAGATATTCTGATTTTCATTCAACAGTACTTCAAGACACCTGGCTTTAGTTTGTGTTCCTTGTGACCAGGACCCGTGAAGATCCAGGGTAGAAAAGATCTTCAGCAACCCATGCTTGCCGTAAAAGGCGACTATGCTTGTCGTAAATGGCGACTAACGGGATTGGGTGGTCAGGCTTGCTGACTTGGTTGATGCATGTCATCGATCCCAATTGCGTGGATCGATGCTCATGATATTAATCGCTAGATTGTCTGGTCCAGACTTGATTATTCACAGACCACCGTCATATAGCTGGAATATTGCTGAGTGCGGCGTTAAACAACAAACCAACCAACCTTGTGACCAGCCGAGTACTTCTGTCACATGGTCACAACTTACACAGTTTGTTCATGTGTTTTCACTATGGTCCCTTTCATGTGTAATGCTTTATTGTCATGCATCTCAAAACAATATGTAAAGCCAAAGGCTTGTATTTGGTCCGTCTGTTTTTATTTTAGAATAATGACAACAGATAGAACATTGTTAAGGCGAAAAGATATACTGTCCATAACCCAGTGTGAACGTTGCCGATAGAGTGAGCGAGTTTGGTTTTACACACTTTTAGCAATATTCCAGCAATAGGGCGGCGGGGGACACCAGAAATGGGCTTCACACATTGTACCCATGTGAGGAAATTGAACCCGGGTCTTTGGCGTGGCGTGCGAACACTTTAACCGCTAGGCTATCCCACCGCCCCCTGATAGTGGTGAAGCCTATTCTGGTTAACTGTCTCTGGGTGTGATAGTAACATGTACTGCTTGTATCACAGGTTCCACATGCACTGTCAGTTTAAGGTTTGACTGGCCGGGTCAGCGAAGGGAAGATTAATTGACAACGATCACCCATTATAGCCCTCAAATTCTACAAGTCAATGAGGGGTACGATCATTGAATTTTTACTTGTCTTCAGCACAATTTTATAGTCTTGGGCTAGTGGACTAGCATGAATTTCAAAGGCTGGTTACTTTGAAATAATTGAAAATGTAATGTGAATATTACAATGTTGCAAATAAAGAATCCATTATAGGTGAGCTACAGAACCTTTTGGTTGTAGTTTGACCTCATGTACACATTACAATCCATTAACAAGTATGTTTCCCTCATTTAGAAAATAGGAGTAATTTATTCAGTGATAGAAAATAACAGTTTTTGTCCACTATTCCTTATTATGATAACATGTAGCAAAACCTTTAAAAATGGCAAATTTCTACTAGGCCTTATGATACCTTAACTATTGGGCAGTGTGACAAGGACTACAGGAGTAGTGCCAATTTCTAATGCTGGTTTTGTTTGTCTTGTAAAAATGATGATTATTACAAAATGCCTATTTTCTTCAGGAAACGAGGAGCCATGGACAGAGAAGAAACTGTGTTAGTAGTTGGAAGTGACATTTCACTTGCTGACCTGCAGGCAGAGATGGAGGTCGGTGGGGGTGGGGGTGGGGGAGAGGAGGAGCAAGATGCATCATCAACACCTGGGGAGGAGGAGGGCAGTGGTGCACAGAAAGAAGACATGAGCTCTTTTGAATTGTTTGAAACTCGTAATGTGTTTTGCTTCTTTGATGAGAATCTGTTGGATTCCAACCCTCATGTGTTACCAGACAATGGACAAGGCAACAAGCAGGATCTTGTATTGGAGAGCCTATCTCCTGATCATAGTGATTGTGTTTCAACTGCTGGAGATGTGTGTGGGACATCTGCTGATTGTGCTGAAGGTGCTGACCACCAGAGTTCATCACACACATTGCACACAAATAATCAGGACATCAAGGTCTGTGATGTGAAATCTCAGGAATCTTTTCTAGACGATAAGTCTAATAATACATCGTCACCTTCTGTTGGTGGTTTAAATCAGAGAGGTGAGTCAGAGAGAAACAATACAGGCATAAATTGTGATATGAATCCCCCCAGGCTGGAAAAAAATGATGAACTCCCCCTTTATGGAAGATGTAAAGATTCACCATCATTTCCAAATGGTGTCCTTCAGGGAGAGCGATGGGCACAACCGTCAGACAACTTGAAGCACAATAGGCATTTAGATTTGACAAGTCCATCACAACATAGTAACGGTGGTGCACTGTGGGAGACTCCTGGAGAACTGCCTGTCCTGGAACTAAGCGTTATTGAACTGACTTTGAAGGGAGCATCAGCTACCCATCCAGCAGCCTCATCAACGGCCCCATCAGCAGCTCCATGTGCTTGCCCTCCACAGAAAGCTGTGATACACACGACTGTGATCGATGTTCACCCAGGGCATATTGTACATAAACATGATAAGAAAGTACTGGAGAGTGATTTATCGGAACATTATAGTGTTATTCAAAGTCTTCCAGAAGAAATATTGCTCAATATATTTTCTTACTTCTCACCTAAAGAACTGTGTCAGTATGTTGCACCAGTATGCAGGCGTTGGCGTGTCCTTGCTTACGAACCTACATTGTGGGTATGTTTAAAAATAGACCCTTTATGGGAGGTGAGTATTGATGACCTTTCTACACTCCTTGAACGTGTGTCAGGGGTGAAGGACCTCTCACTCCATGCCAGGAATGGCATCACATATTTTGAAGTCTTCACTTACCTGAAACACTGTAATCACTTGACAGAGCTTGACCTTGGTTTATGTGATAGTATCAATATTCATGTTATTGAGTGTATTGTGAAGTTTTGCCCCTTGTTGAGGAACATCAATTTAGAAGGATGTAGCAATATAGACTTTGAGTGTGTGAAGCAGCTGGCTACCCTACGTCACCTGTCCCACCTCAACCTCTCACACTGTCGCCTGGAGAACGACAGCATCCTCCTCCTGGCGTACTCCATTGACAGCATCATGAGCTTCAATGTCGATGGTGTGGCATGGATCACAGATGAGTAAGAAGTGTTTTATTCTAACCTTGATGATAAGAAAACAATTGAATAATAAAGTAGTGAGTGAGTGAGTTTGGTTTAACGCTTGTTTGAACAGAATTTTATCTTATCTGTATTATGGTGTCAGCTTCATGTGGGACGAAAGCCCGGTGTGACACAGGGCGTAAACATGTATCACTTCAGTGAAACACATGGTCATGGGTGAGTGTCATGGGGCATATTTGCAGTTTGAACCAATATTCAGGAACTGTTTGATTGGCATTCTAGAAGTAGGCAAGATAAGTAAGAAAAATGTACAACTAGACGTTGTTATCCATAAAGTTGTACATTTTTCTTACAATATTGGGAGATCCTGGCATAGCTAAGGGTCGCAACTCTGCACAGGGTCCTGTGCCTTACAGCACTGGACCCCTTATGCTTATGCGCCTAAGTATTAATGGTGTTGAATTCAGTCATTCAGTCATTACTCATATTCACCTTGTTTTTTAGGTCCATTTGTACTTTTACTGTCACAGTCTGTGTTTGTAATTTTGAGCTATGTTAACAACTGGTAATCTAGGATAAGCTGAGTCATGACCTGATATTGACCAGATATGACTATTTCTGAGGTCCGCCCACTTGTGAAGAAAGGGGTAGCGGGTGGTCTGCGACAAGTAATACAATGGATATGTGCGTGTCTTGTCTCGGCTTACAAGTTCTAGTAGTGAGTTCACTAGCACATAATAGTATGTGCTTATATGAGGCAACTGACTGTGAAAACAGTGACAGTGAATTTGCATAGGCAACAATTGAGAAGTATTGGGCCAATGAAGGGAATTCATTTGCTGTAAGAATAGAATACTTTTTTACCCAAGAGAGCAATAATGAATAGTGTCATGTCACTCATCAAGTCATTGTAAAGGTTGTGACCTTAACATAGTGATAGCTGACTCAATGACATATTCCCATGTAATTGTTTATGGGGTTTCAGCATACTGTAAACGTAATATGACTCGACTTGTCACCCCAACCTCTTAATAGTCTTTTGAGCAACACGTGTGTCTACGAAAGCATACTCAACTTCGTTGTCATGACCTGCACGTGCATACACCCTCTCTACCTGTAACAAACCAAATATGTTTGCCCAAATTCTGTGCGCCACCTACTTGTCTCAAACACATTTTGTGAATTGGTTCAACTACTTATCATGGACTTCCAGTAGCTTTTATCACTTAAAATTTCTCTTTGACCAGCCGAAGCTGAAACTTAAAAAAAAAAAAATCAAATTATAAAGTAATGCAAAGTTTTCCTCATGTTTATTGGCCTAGAAGCAGTCACGTGTCATTCGACAGAAATGCCAAATAACTCCAAATCTGGTCTGATAATTTACGGTATTCACTTGACATGCTTGAGTTACCAAATATCAAACCTCTGGCTCATTGTGGCATATTTAATGCGCACCCCCTTCTACACAGCTGTGTTTTTTTGGAAAAAAATGCGCACTATACTCAAGAAAATATGGTACTAAAAACTAAAAGTAGAATGGGAAATATCTGGAAGTGATTTCACCAAACCCTAGCTAATCAGATGTCTCCTTGTGTTGGGAACTCCTAATGTTATTTTAGCTAACATTGTTTGAGATGTTGAATCTACTTTTGTTCAGTTATATAATAAACCAGTTATAGCCTTATATGAAGTCAATACCTGATTTTATGGAACTGAAAAAAGCAATATCAACCTTGGACTTGGATCAGTAATTGGCAGTAATTGTATTATGTAAGTAGCCAGCACATTGGTTTGTTGTGTCTCCTGTCCTGCAGTGCCATCATGCCGCTGTGTGAGGTGCACAAGTCCAGTCTGAGGCATCTGGAACTGGATGGGGAGGAGCTGACCGATAGGAGCATCTCCGCCGTGGCCAAGTGTCAGTCTCTTGTCACACTCAACGTGTCCTTCTGTGACCTGCTGTCTGACGCCAGTCTGGAGTACCTCAAGGTATTGGATACACCATCCAACAGTTGCAGTGTTTTATTTCTTAATTGTATTGTAAATATCCTGGACCCATTCGTCAGCACAGTTTCATTCAGAGCCCAGTTCAGATAACTCAGTGCTGAAAAGTATTCAATTTACATATTTGTTCATGATTGAGACAAGTGCCAATGTTGCTTAGTATTTAATTTGAATGCATAATAACCTCTCTCCCGCTGTCACAACATGCTTAGTACTAAGGAATACCATCATAAAGGGCTAAAGTTAAATTTTTACAGTCTTCTTATTTGTTGTAAACTCCTTTACTTTAAACATGTCGAAGGTTCTTTCTACAGGGCCACAATTTTGAATGTAGATCTCTTCAGTTGTGTCATTTCCATGCGTTATTAATTTCATTGTGTGGAGAATCTGGGTTGGAAAAGGTCCTGGGGCTGGTCATAAGCGATGTCCAAATGGATCAGGTGGTCAGGTCCAGTGACTTGGTTGTATGTGTGTCATTCTACCTCAGTGGCTTGGATCATTGCTCACAATATCAAACCCCCTATTGTTTGGTCCTGACTCAGTGATTTACAGGCCACGTCTTATAGCTGTAATACTGCTGAGTGAGGCGTTAAACAAAAAAAAAACCAAGTCATAAAGAATAGCAATGTTGTGAAAATTCAGTGACAAGGGAGGTAAAGTGAGTGAGTATGGTTTTACGCCCCTTCTCGCATTATTCCAGCAACGTCACAGCGGGGGACACCAGAAATAGGCTTCACACATTGTACCCATTTGGGGAATTGAACCAGGGTCTTTGGCCTCAGGAGCGAACACTTAACCACTAGGCTACCCCACCACCCCCAGAGAGGTAAAGAGGAGATTGTCCTAGCAGTTACTTCCAAAACAAAGCTGTGGTCAAAAATGAGTCCAGGATACATATACAAAGAAAAAGGAGATATTATGCACAGGATAAGCAAGATCAGAGACTGCATTGTGACTGCCGTCATATAGCTGGAATATTGCTGAGTGCGGCGTTAAACAAGAAACAAACAAAATTGTTGCCCTGATGACATGAACTAAGCCTTGTTGACTGGGGTTGTGTAAGTGAAGTTAACCCATAAATCCTCAAAGTCAATCATGGGAACATCATGGTGAAATACATATAGTGAAACAAATTCTGTCTTTGCTTACATTTCTTCTTTATTTAGGAGCTGAAAAAGCTACGAAAATTACGACTACGGAAGGGTTTGGAGTTTTCTGAAGAAGCAGTAGAGAAGTTCTTTAAGCATGGCCACCTACACAATGTGACAGACCTTGACATGTCAGAGTGTGCTGGCATGAAGGACGCCAGCCTCCTGTCTCTCACTGAGTGGTATGTTCTCACAATCTCAACAGGATCTGATCTTTTACTTCAATACAGTATCTCTCTGCTCAAAGCCCTGATAAACTCCCTGTTGGAGGTCTCATCACATGAACTTAGCCAGCCAGCATCAGTACTTCTATTTTGTCAGCACAAGCGAGTGAAGCTTTCTGTACTCAAAAGTCTGTCTCCATTTCACACAGTGGTACATATCTAGAACCTGTCAGTCTCACACAGTGGTACATGTCTAGAACGTGTCAGTCTCTCTGTCACACAGTGGTACATATCTAGAACGTGTCAGTCTCTCTGTCACACAGTGGTACATATCTAGAACGTGTCAGTCTCTCTGTCACACAGTGGTACATATCTAGAACCTGTCAGTCTCACACAGTGGTACATATCTAGAACCTGTCAGTCTCACACAGTGGTACATATCTAGAACGTGTCAGTCTCACACAGTGGTACATGTCTAGAACGTGTCAGTCTCTCTGTCACACAGTGGTACATATCTAGAACGTGTCAGTCTCTCTGTCACACAGTGGTACATATCTAGAACCTGTCAGTCTCACACAGTGGTACATGTCTAGAACGTGTCAGTCTCACACAGTGGTACATGTCTAGAACGTGTCAGTCTCTCTGTCACACAGTGGTACATATCTAGAACGTGTCAGTCTCTCTGTCACACAGTGGTACATATCTAGAACCTGTCAGTCTCACACAGTGGTACATATCTAGAACCTGTCAGTCTCACACAGTGGTACATATCTAGAACGTGTCAGTCTCACACAGTGGTACATATCTAGAACGTGTCAGTCTCTCTGTCACACAGTGGTACATATCTAGAACCTGTCAGTCTCTCACAGTGGTACATGTCTAGAACGTGTCAGTCTCTCTGTCACACAGTGGTACATATCTAGAACCAGTCAGTCTCACTCAGTGGTACATGTCTAGAACGTGTCAGTCTCTCTGTCACACAATGATACATACTAGGACGTGTCAGTCTCACACAGTGGTACATGTCTAGAATGTGTCAGTCTCTCTGTCACACAGTGGTACATATCTAGAACCTGTCAGTCTCACACAGTGGTACATATCTAGAACCTGTCAGTCTCACACAGTGGTACATGTCTAGAACGTGTCAGTCTCACACAGTGGTACATGTCTAGAACGTGTCAGTCTCTCTGTCACACAGTGGTACATATCTAGAACCAGTCAGTCTCTCACAGTGGTACATGTCTAGAACGTGTCAGTCTCTCTGTCACACAGTGGTACATATCTAGAACCAGTCAGTCTCACTCAGTGGTACATGTCTAGAACGTGTCAGTCTCTCTGTCACACAATGATACATACTAGGACGTGTCAGTCTCACACAGTGGTACATGTCTAGAACGTGTCAGTCTCTCTGTCACACAGTGGTACATATCTAGAACCAGTCAGTCTCACTCAGTGGTACATGTCTAGAACGTGTCAGTCTCTCTGTCACTCAGTGGTACATATCTAGAACTTGTCAGTCTCTCTGTCACACAGTGGTACATATCTAGAACCTGTCAGTCTCACTCAGTGGTACATATCTAGAACGTGTCAGTCTCTCTGTCACACAGTGGTACATATCTAGAACCAGTCAGTCTCACTCAGTGGTACATATCTAGAACTTGTCAGTCTCTCTGTCACACAGTGGTACATATCTAGAACCTGTCAGTCTCACACAATGGTACATATCTAGAACCAGTCAGTCTCACTCAGTGGTACATGTCTAGAACGTGTCAGTCTCTCTGTCACACAGTGGTACATATCTAGAACCAGTCAGTCTCACTCAGTGGTACATATCTAGAACCTGTCAGTCTCTCTGTCACACAGTGGTACACATCTAGAACCTGTCAGTCTCTCTGTCACACAGTGGTACATATCTAGAACCTGTCAGTCTCTCTGTCACACAGTGGTACATGTCTAGAACCTGTCAGTCTCACTCAGTGGTACATATCTAGAACGTGTCAGTCTCACTCAGTGGTACATATCTAGAACCTGTCAGTCTCTCTGTCACACAGTGGTACATATCTAGAACGTGTCAGTCTCTCTGTCACACAGTGGTACATGTCTAGAACCTGTCAGTCTCTCACAGTGGTACATATCTAGAACCTGTCAGTCTCACTCAGTGGTACATATGTAGAACCTGTCAGTCTCTCTGTCACACAGTGGTACATATCTAGAACCTGTCAGTCTCTCTGTCACACAGTGGTACATGTCTAGAACCAGTCAGTCTCACACAGTGGTACATATCTAGAACCTGTCAGTCTCACTCAGTGGTACATGTCTAGAACTTGTCAGTCTCTCTGTCACACAGTGGTACATATCTAGAACCTGTCAGTCTCTCTGTCACACAGTGGTGCATATCTAGAACGTGTCAGTCTCTCTGTCACACAGTGGTACATGTCTAGAACCAGTCAGTCTCACACAGTGGTACATATCTAGAACCTGTCAGTCTCACTCAGTGGTACATGTCTAGAACGTGTCAGTCTCTCTGTCACACAGTGGTACATATCTAGAACCTGTCAGTCTCACACAGTGGTACATGTCTAGAACCTGTCAGTCTCTCTGTCACACAGTGGTACATATCTAGAACCAGTCAGTCTCACACAGTGGTACATATCTAGAACCAGTCAGTCTCTCTGTCACACAGTGGTACATATCTAGAACGTGTCAGTCTCACTCAGTGGTACATATCTAGAACCTGTCAGTCTCTCTGTCACACAGTGGTACATGTCTAGAACCAGTCAGTCTCACACAGTGGTACATATCTAGAACCTGTCAGTCTCACTCAGTGGTACATGTCTAGAACTTGTCAGTCTCTCTGTCACACAGTGGTACATATCTAGAACCTGTCAGTCTCTCTGTCACACAGTGGTACATATCTAGAACGTGTCAGTCTCACTCAGTGGTACATATCTAGAACGTGTCAGTCTCTCTGTCACACAGTGGTACATGTCTAGAACCAGTCAGTCTCACACAGTGGTACATATCTAGAACCTGTCAGTCTCACTCAGTGGTACATGTCTAGAACTTGTCAGTCTCTCTGTCACACAGTGGTACATATCTAGAACCTGTCAGTCTCTCTGTCACACAGTGGTACATATCTAAAAGGTGTCAGTCTCACTCAGTGGTACATGTCTAGAACGTGTCAGTCTCTCTGTCACACAGTGGTACATATCTAGAACCTGTCAGTCTCACTCAGTGGTACATATCTAGAACCTGTCAGTCTCACTCAGTGGTACATATCTAGAACGTGTCAGTCTCTCTGTCACACAGTGGTACATATCTAGAACCTGTCAGTCTCACTCAGTGGTACATATCTAGAACGTGTCAGTCTCTCTGTCACACAGTGGTACATATCTAGAACCTGTCAGTCTCTCTGTCTCACAGTGGTACATATCTAGAACCAGTCAGTCTCTCTGTCACACAGTGGTACATATCTAGAACCTGTCAGTCTCTCTGTCTCACAGTGGTACATATCTAGAACTTGTCAGTCTCTCTGTCACACAGTGGTACATATCTAGAACGTGTCAGTCTCTCTGTCACACAGTGGTACATGTCTAGAACCTGTCAGTCTCACTCAGTGGTACATATCTAGAACCTGTCAGTCTCACTCAGTGGTACATATCTAGAACCAGTCAGTCTCACACAGTGGTACATATCTAGAACCTGTCAGTCTCTCTGTCTCACAGTGGTACATATCTAGAACCAGTCAGTCTCACACAGTGGTACATGTCTAGAACCTGTCAGTCTCACTCAGTGGTACATATCTAGAACCAGTCAGTCTCACTCAGTGGTACATATCTAGAACCTGTCAGTCTCTCTGTCTCACAGTGGTACATATCTAGAACCAGTCAGTCTCACACAGTGGTACATATCTAGAACCTGTCAGTCTCTCTGTCTCACAGTGGTACATATCTAGAACCAGTCAGTCTCACTCAGTGGTACATGTCTAGAACCTGTCAGTCTCACTCAGTGGTACATATCTAGAACGTGTCAGTCTCACTCAGTGGTACATATCTAGAACCAGTCAGTCTCACTCAGTGGTACATGTCTAGAACTTGTCAGTCTCCCTGTCACACAGTGGTACATATCTAGAACCAGTCAGTCTCACTCAGTGGTACATATCTAGAACCTGTCAGTCTCACTCAGTGGTACATATCTAGAACGTGTCAGTCTCACTCAGTGGTACATATCTAGAACCTGTCAGTCTCACTCAGTGGTACATATCTAGAACGTGTCAGTCTCTCTGTCACACAGTGGTACATATCTAGAACCAGTCAGTCTCACACAGTGGTACATATCTAGAACCTGTCAGTCTCACTCAGTGGTACATGTCTAGAACTTGTCAGTCTCTCTGTCACACAGTGGTACATATCTAGAACTTGTCAGTCTCTCTGTCACACAGTGGTACATATCTAGAACGTGTCAGTCTCACACAGTGGTACATGTCTAGAACCAGTCAGTCTCACACAGTGGTACATGTCTAGAACGTGTCAGTCTCTCTGTCACACAGTGGTACATATCTAGAACCTGTCAGTCTCACACAGTGGTACATATCTAGAACGTGTCAGTCTCTCTGTCACACAGTGGTACATATCTAGAACCTGTCAGTCTCACACAATGGTACATATCTAGAACCAGTCAGTCTCACACAGTGGTACATGTCTAGAACGTGTCAGTCTCTCTGTCACACAGTGGTACATATCTAGAACCAGTCAGTCTCACTCAGTGGTACATGTCTAGAACGTGTCAGTCTCTCTGTCACACAGTGGTACATATCTAGAACCAGTCAGTCTCACACAGTGGTACATATCTAGAACGTGTCAGTCTCATGTATGTTTCTTTAAGTTGAGGTGTGTTTTTATATGAAAATATGAAACAGAAGATTCTTTCGCTATGTAATAGACATGTAATATATTGTGAATTCATATACTGCGAGCAAAGTGTCAGTTGGTAAGTATCACTGGGAATTCATGAAGGAAACTGTGCCTTCAGTCACATTCAGATTTTGGGATTTTCAGTTATTCTGACCAAAAATATAAAATGACTCTTGACGTAACACCATTTTGAAGAAGTCAAGTTCTAGTGAAGTCAACTGTTACCCGGTCCCCAGCTTAGTAACTGGATTTCCTCTGAAGTTTGAGACTTACTCTTTGTTGACAGTTGTGGCAGCAGCCTGATAGTGTTGGCGCTACAGTGGTGCTGGTACATCACCGACATCGGCCTGGCATCTATTGTGGAGTGTTGCAGGTAATACATGCACCAGTGTCTTCTTCACAGAAACATTCCAGTCTAGTTTTAAGATATAATAAAAATGTGCATATATATAATGTGCTAAATACACACCCTAAGGCATTCTCAAAATGTAACATTATTACTCATGTCAATGAATAAGTATGCATTTCATTCTCAGCTCCCTGGGGAATATGCAATCAAAGTTTGTTTGTTGCTTTACTTGTTGAACTGTTAATGATATGAATGAAATACTGTTAATGTGGCATTTACAACAACAAAAGTTTGAGTCTTGCCAGCTCAGTTCAGAGCAGGTTATTATGATGTAAAGATCAATAAAGGCAAATTTCAAAAGTCTTAACAATATCTGTAACTCTTGTAACCTTCATGTTGTTGAAAATGAATTTCATTGTATGTTTTTTTGTTAACTCTATCTTCCTTAAGAAACAAATAACAGGAAGAAGTTTACCCATGTCATCCTCAAATGTTACACCATTACAAAATATTGCATTGTACATACTTCATGCATTATTAGTTAAAGGAAACATGCATACCTTGTAATGTATGCTTGTCTGATCAGGCTCGCTGACTTGGTTCATGCTACCCGTGAAGATCCGGTTTAGAATAGGTCCTTAGCAATCCATGCTTGCTGTAAAAGTGACCATGCTTGTTGCTAGAGGCGACTAACGGGATCGGGTGGTCAGGCTTGCTGACTTGGTTGATGCATGTCATCGTATCCCCATTGCGTTGATTGATGCTCATGATGTCAGTCACTGAATTGTCTTGTCTAGATTTGTTAATTTACAGACCGCAGTCATATTGGTAGAATATTGCTGATTGTGGCATTAAACTACTGACTACCACTGTTTTCTTGTGGTAGAGCATCCACCCGGAGAGTGGAAGGTCCATGGTTTGATCCCCAGCAGAGTCATACTAAAGACGTAAAAAGATGGTACTTGTTGTTACCCTGCATGGCGCTCGGCATTAAGGGCCTAAACAAGGACTGATCGGCTCAGAGTCAGTATACTGAGTGGGGTATTCATGTTAAAAAACTGCGGCATGGTATCTCATTGTGATAGCACTATAAAATCAACGTTAGTCCGGACTAGTACAAGCAGCCACACAAGCATATGTGCATGCACGTTGCTAAATAGGTGCAATGATCTTGAACGTGACTTTAAACCCCATTTCACCCCACCTCACCTTGGATAACCAATTTTAATTTGGTACTCCCGCGCCCACTGTCTCATTTATTACCCTCAGGCTTCAACAAAATCATAATGTTTATGTTCTTCTTGTTCAGCAATCTGGAGCGACTTGACCTGACAGGGCTGCACCGCCTGTCTGGGGAGTGTCTGGACAGGGTGCCCGATGACATGGTGCGTCTCCGCTTCCTCGACCTCAGAAACTGTAACAATGTAAGTCTATATTACCCCATGTAAACCAAGCTGATATGTTCCAATTTAACGAAATGTTGGAACATTAAGCCATATAGGAGAATGCACTGACATATCTAAAACTGTGATATTTAAGTATCTGGTGTTATGTATTATGTTCTGCTTATCATATTTAATATGTTATACCTACAGTAAACTTGGCTCCTAGTTAACTTTGAAGATCTGGGCCCACTTGCACAAAGCAATTTTAGCACTAAGATGATCGTAACTCCCACACTTTAACATAGGCTTACAATAGTCGTAGTGCTAAGATTGCTTTGTGCAAGTGGGCCCAGGTTAAAATTGGACTTCAGCAAGCCCAGTTGTCGTAAGAGGCAACTAACTGGATCAGGTGGTCGGGGTCACTTGGTTGATGCATGTCATCGTATCCCAGTGTAACACCCCTGTGTTATATTGGGATCAACTAGTGAATGAGTATGGTTTTACGCCGCTTTTAGCAATATTTCAGCAATATCACTGCGGGGGACACCAGAAATGGGCTTCACACATTGTACCTATGTGGGGAATCGAACCTGGTCCCTCAGCATGACGAGCAAACGCTCTAACCACTAAGCTACCCCATCGCCCCTGGGATCAAGTAGAACATTATCTTATGAGCTTGGTAATGACCACCTGTTCAGGAATCAGCTAGAACTTTCACTGGAAACTGCACAAGATTGTATGCCTTATGTTGTTCTAATCGATCAACAGTAATCTCCATAATTTGCACGATATTTTAGTTTGGAAGAATTTATGTAATGTAATCAAAGAGCCGAGAAGCATCACTTAGCATTCACAAACTCTGTTTGTCCCTATTGTTATCAGTGACGATTGTAATTGTACTTAGTCAAGACTAGTGTTGTCGATTCAGCCTGTATATCAGTGACCACAAGTGACAGTGACCAGTGTTTATCACTACAGTAAACTACGGATATAACGAACTCAAAGGGACTACTAATTTTATTTCGTTTTAACCGTAATTCGTTATAAGCATATATACAGCATAACTACAGCATATAGTCGGAACTAAAAGTTAGTTTGTTATATCCGTTAGTTCGTTATAAGCGTGTTCGTTATAACCATAGTCAGGGTATTTTCTCGAATGTACAAAATATAGTCTAACAAGGCAACCTTTGTTTATTGACATTGTGAATATAGGGGTCAACCAATTAGCAACAATTCCTAGTGGTAACAAAAATCTGCCTGTAGAACAAAATAATTAAAATTTTATATATGTTCATCAAGTTATAGTGGAAACTTAGGGTTTTCATTTTTTCTATAACTGAGAATTTTTCATTGTGGGTATTGCAACGCACAGGCTTCCATTTATGGGTGTTCTTAATTTGTTTTGAGTAGTGTATATCACATGTATATATTCTGTACTGTACATATTTATCCTGCATATATTTTATATACATACAGATACTCACACAATAATGTAACGAAATGTATATTACAGTGAAGGAAATTAACGCTTGCCTTTAGGACCTGAAAGATTTTTGACACGTGCTGTAAACTATCTGTCGTCCTCTCGATGCCCCCTGCCAAATAGTTGTGCTAGAGTTTTGACACATGCTTTCGAGTCTTTCTCATTATGAATAATGTACACAATTTCTGATCTATATATTCTGAGTGAGTCTTAATATTTGAATGTATTTATGGCACATTAAAGATTGAAATTTGAAAATCTTCTTATTTTATAATGACTAGTAAACGGTTGCATGACTAGCAGAAAAAAAGATCCCCCTGATCTGATGAGTGTCACAGGTTAGAATCAATTTGATATTTGCAATAAAGTATGATTAAATCAAACTTGCTGTTTGAAATCTTGATGATCTTTCAGAATTGTTTCATTCTTGTCATTCCAGATGAATGACAAGTTAATCTGTGAGATGATCCGATCGAAGCCTGACCTTCAAGTGATCAACTACTATGGTGAAATGTTTGTCTACGGAGAAGGGAGTCCCTGATGTGTCTCACCACACTGGCAGCACAGCCAACATCAAAATCATGACAAACCCAGCAAGTTGAGGATCGGGGGGGTTGTAAGGTGTGCCCTTGCTGATCGGTGGCCTGTTACTCAGACGGTGTGGAATCGTTGCTCACGTTATCATGTCTTGTAATCAGGCATGGCAGATTTGTTTGGTTTGAATCCCAGATTCAACCTGATAATGATTCCTGGTTTGTCAACACCACAGTCACCTTCGAAATTCACGGTAATCTGGAAGCCTGAGACTATTAAATGGTGGTGAGGACAAGTGAAAATCCAATGATGGTAGTCCTTATTGACTCGTAGCATTTGAGGGCTATAATTCTGAACCAGTTCTCAAAGCTTCATTTTTTTTGCAAATTGGTAACTCAATAAAGCAGCAGTATACATTTTTGTCTGGTTCCAGCAGGACTAGCTCCAAACTCTTAGGGCTAGTGAAATAAGATTTCCATTAGTACTCTGGACGAATCTTAAAAAACCCTGAATTTCTAAGGCTGACATATCCATGCTTGTTGGTTTCACCAAAGTGGGAAACATCTAAGACCTGCATCACTAAGCCGACCTTACTCACTGTTTGATTTGTTTCAGTTGTTTTCATCTGGTTGTTATGGTGACCTGACTTTCTCGGATCTGACTATTTATTTTAACAAAAGTATAGAATTCTATATCTATAACAAATATTTGCTGGAAAACGACATGGTATGTCAAAAAGCCTGCGGTTTTCAAGGAGTTTTCTAAAATTTTAACATATGTGAAATATGTCAGTCAAAGCACTCCAATTGTCATGAATCTCTGCGAAAGATATTATAACATATGACAGACATTGCATACAGTTCTTGTATATCTTTGTTATAGGATATTAGATAAAAACATTTTAGTGCTACCGCTGTTGTATATCTATGTTATTGTATATGACGTATGACTGTCACTCTGCTACAGCTGTCTATGTTATAGTATACAGCTGTTTTATGTTGCTGTTATAATATTTGAGATATAACAGTCATAGCGCTGTAGCTGTTGTATGTCTATGTTATAGCATATGAGATATACCTATGTTATAACATATGAGATATGACCGTTATAGCTCTACAGTTGTTGTACATCTATGTTATAGTATATGAGATATGACCGTCATAGTCTACAGCTGTTGTATGTCTGTGTTATGGCATATAAGATATGAGAGTCATAGCAATCAGTTGTTGTTTATCTGTTTTATTGAATATTTATTTGCATCAGTCATAGCGCTACAGTTGTTTTATGTCCCAAATAATGTCAAGAACAACTATGTTTGCTTGGCCATATGAAATAGTTCCATTATGTTGTGGCATGACAACATACAATGCATTAATAATAATAATAAGAAGAAGAATAATGTGCATATTTATAATGAGCCAAATCCACACCTTAAATCATGCTCAAAGCGCTACATTATTACCGCGGTCAGTGGATGAGTGTGCACCTCAGCTCCCTGGGGAGTATGAACGAGATGCTGTAAGGTCACATTACCATCTCATTCTACCTGGTACCCACTCTGATATAACAGACAGTGAGGAATGTAGTAGGATTGACTAAAGAAGTCAGTATTACTAGTTTACTGGTATTGTGATAGTTTTGTCAATGCCTGAGCCATCTTCAGTGTGGAAGTTTTTGAAATGTTCAACATGACATATCCTAGCACCTCAGCCAAGTCCTAGATTCTAGGGGAGTTTGGTTCTAAATTTTGAGAAGGTTTGATGATTTGAATCCTATATGTGTATCTTGCAAGAATACTTATTAATCTCTTCAAGCAAGGTGTAGTTTGTATCAAAACAAATTGAAAAGATGATGATTAACAGTGTTTTTATGGTGTTTTGTACTCATCACAACCAATAGTAATGTGCTACATCCTTGTTACTTAGTGATATTTTAGTATGTCACTATTGCTATGGGCTACTGAGATGCACCTATAAGATGGTTCAGTCGATCTCCACGACTAAAGTATAAAGTAACTGACAGTCTGGTGCTAAAACCAGTTGGGCTTAATTATGTACTGATTCATGTTCTAAGAAATCATTTCTGGCAGTCTGGCAGTAAAGGCAGGATGGTATTATAAACAGAAGTAAACGGTAAGAATTCACATCTGGCATTAAAGTAAGTTTGGTATTATAAACATATATAGAGTAAAACATCAGTTCTGGCTGTTTAAAGGCAAAACCTGTTTGGTAACAAAGATGCAGCACTGTAGTACATGAATGTGAGTCTGATGTACACTACACACAGCCAGTTACTGATAGTAGCGGTCAGTGGCCACTAGTCAGCAGTGATCACTAGATCACTGTAGGTTGTTTTTCCGATATTGTCAGAATCAGGAATTTAGTTGTAATTATTCCAGAAATTTTGCAAAATGAGATATATGCCCAGTATGATAATTGTATTTTTGTGGATATTATTTTTTATATTTGTTCAACTGAGAATCATGTTTAATGTGAAAAAGCGATTAATAGTGTTTTGTAGTTCAATTTGAAATGATCGTGTGTGTGTGTGTGTGTGCCTAATCCAGTTGTGTCCATATATCAACTGGGAGCGTCTGAGTGTCAGTAGGTTATTGAGATCATGGTTTGTGTTCATGGGATGTAGATCTTGATTGATGATTCATTTTCAGGTCATTAAAACTAGGACACATGCTATATGGTACATGATGGCTTCTTAATAAACCAATCACAAACCTCAGTTTCTGCAACTATCTATCAATGCAATAAAATGTGATACTCTCTATGTACAAGTAACATTTACATTTACTGTAAATTATAATAAAATATAATTACAATTTCTATAATTACGCTGATGTACAGCTGTGCAAATAGTCATGATGTTTCTCAAGCAATGATTTTTTGAAAATTGATTTATGTCCGGTTAAAGTCATTGTAAGATTACCAGGACATAAATCTAAGTTTTTGTTTTTGTTGAACACCGCACTCTGCAATATTCCAGCTATCTGACGACCGAACTCTGTAAATAATCAAGCCTGGATCAGACAATCCAGTGATTGACATAATGAGCATCAAACCACGCAATTGGGATACAATGACATGCATCAACCAAGTTAGCGAACCATCTGATCCCATTAGTCGCCTCTTACGACAAGCATTGGTTGCTGAAGACTTATTCAAACCCGAATCTTCACAAGGGACGAATCTAAGTGAGCCAGTGGTATTGTCAGTTGACTGACGTACCCCTCCCATTAACTTTCCACTTATCCAAACTGACTGAGTTCTCTACTACATAAAGTTAAGATTGGTATGTGACCTATTGAGGATGTTTTAGGAAATACTTTTTTACTGAACAAAATGTCATTAAACCCCACGCTGCTTGTTACCATGACAATTCCAAATGACACTCTGATGCCATGCTTTCTACCCAGATCCAACAAACCATATTACATAGCAATTATTTAAAGCCCCACAATAATTCCACTTCCGTGGGTACATACCCACTCATACCACTCATGGTTGGAAATATTATACACAGCATGTCTCGCACAGAATCTCGCACTCTAGCACTCTGGCTTATGGCACCTATTGATGTCTGGGAGCAGAAAACAATAAACTCATGTGGGGAGTTTTTCTTATGTGTCTGATGCTTAAGAACCAATACTTGTTGAGCTTCTTTCGTCTGTGTTTCGATGGGATTATATGAGTCCATGCCTTTGGTTCAGTTCTATGATGAAGTGATATTGCAAATCTTTACCAATGTATAGGGTTTTGTCTGTTTTATGCAACTCAATGCTAATAAATACAGCACTAATAGTACCCATTTTGCAGGTGTGTATTATTGAATGTACTGAAAAGGCAGCTTTAAGTACACCTTCAACCTCAGTTTGTTATCTGATTTTGTTTTCTGTGAGTCTGTGATGTTTAACATAGAGAGTGTATCTGACGGCAGCCAGAAGGTCTAGGATTGTTCAGTCAAGGCTGTATAGAATATTTCAGTGATATTACAAACCCAGAAATATTTGTCATTACAGTAACATGTAACACTCCATTGTATATAGTAGAATAAACTATGTCTACACACCTTGTTTTTGTTGTGCAGCAGGATAACAGCTGATTTATTGTCAGTGTTAAAAACACACTATAACTACAGCACAAATGAGTGAGGGGGTTGCACTGTCACAGCTACTGTGAGTGAGGGGGTTGCACTGTCACAGCTACTGTGAGTGAGGGGGTTGCACTGTGACAGCGACTGTGAGTGAGGGGTTGCACTGTGACAGCGACTGTGAGTGAGGGTTGCACTGTCACAGCTACTGTGAGTGAGGGGGTTGCACTGTCACAGCTACTGTGAGTGAGGGGGTTGCACTGTCACAGCTACTGTGGGAGAGGGGGTTGCACTGTCACAGCTACTGTGAGTGAGGGGGTTGCACTGTGAGTGAGGGGTTGCACTGTGACAGCTACTGTGAGTGAAGGGGTTGCACTGTGACAGCGACTGTGAGTGAGGGGTTGCACTGTGACAGCTACTGTGAGTGAAGGGGTTGCACTGTGACAGCGACTGTGAGTGAGGGGTTGCACTGTGACAGCTACTGTGTGTGAAGGGGTTGCACTGTGACAGCAACTGTGAGTGAAGGGGTTGCTCTGTGACAGCGACTGTGAGTGAGGAGGTTGCACAGTCAGCTGCTGTGAGTGAGGGGGTTGCACTGTCAAAGCTACTGTGAGTGAGGGGGTTGCACTGTCACAGCTACTGTGAGTGAGGGGGTTGCACTGTCAGCTACTGTGAGTGAAGGGGTTGCACTGTGACAGCTACTGTGGGAGAGGGGGTTGCACTGTCACAGCTACTGTGAGTGAGGGGGTTGCATTGTGAAAGCTACTGTGAGGGAAGAGGTTGCACTGTTACAGCGACTGAGTGAAGGGGTTGCACTGTGACAGTGACTGTGAGTGAGGGGTTGCACTGTGACAGCGACTGTGAGTGAAGGGGTTGCACTGTGACAGCGACTGTGAGTGAGGGGTTGCACTGTCACAGCTACTGTGAGTGAGGGGTTGCACTGTGACAGCTACTGTGAGTGAGGGGTTGCACTTTCACAGCTACTGTGAGTGAGGGGGTTGCATTGTGGCAGCTACTGTGAGTGAAAAGGTTGCACTGTTACAGCGACTGTGAGTGAAGGGGTTGCACTGTGACAGCGACTGTGAGTGAGGGGCTGCACTGTGACAGCGACTGTGAGTGAGGGGTTGCACTGTCAGAGCTACTGTGAGTGAGGGGGTTGCACTGTGACAGCTACTGTGAGTGAGGGGTTGCACTGTCACAGCTACTGTGAGTGAGGAGGTTGCACTGTCACAGCGGCTGAGTGAAGGGGTTGTACTGTGACAGCGACTGTGAGTGAGGGGTTGCACTGTGACAGCTACTTTGAGTGAGGGGTTGCACTGTGACAGCTACTGTGAGTGAGGGGGTTGCACTGTGGGAGAGGGTTTCACTGTGACCGCTACTGTGAGTGAGGGGGTTGCACTGTGACAGCTACTGTGAGAGAGGGGGTTGCACTGTCACAGCTACTGTGAGTGAGGGAGTTGCACTGTGACAGCTACTGTGAGTGAGGGGGTTGCACTGTCACAGCTACTGTAAGTAAGGGATTGCACTGTGACAGCTACTGTGAGGGGATTGCACTGTGACAGCTACTGTAAGTAAGGGGGGTTGTACTGTGACATCTACTGTAAGTAAGGGGGTTGCACTGTCACAGCTACTGTGAGTAAGGGGGTTGCACTGTCACAGCTACTGTAAGGGGGTTGCACTGTCACAACTACTGTGAGAGGGGGGGCTGCACTGTCACAGCTACTGTGAATGAGGATGTTGCACTGTCACAGCTACTGTGAGTGAGGGGGTTGCACAATGTCAGCTACTGTGAGGGCGTTGCATTGTCACAGCTTCTGTGAGTGAGGGGGTTGCACTGTGATACCTGTGACTAAGGGGGTTGCACTGTGACAGCTACTGTGAGGGGGTTTGCACTATGACAGCTACTGTGAGGGTTGCACTTTGATGACTACTGTGAGTGAGGGGGTTGCACTGTGGCAGCCACTGTGAGTGAGGGGGTTGCACTGTGACAGCCACTGTGAGTGAGGGGGTTGCACTGTCACAGCTACTGTGAGTGAGGGGGTTGCACTGTGATACCTGTGACTGAGGGGGTTGCACTGTTACAGCTACTGTGAGGGGGTTTGCACTATGACAGCTACTGTGAGGGTTGCACTGTGATGGCTACTGTGAGTGAGGGGGTTGCACTGTTGGAGCCACTGTGAGTGAGGGGGTTGCACTGTGACAGCCACTGTGAGTGAGGGGGTTGCACTGTCACAGCTACTGTGCGTGAGGGGGTTGCACTGTCACAGCTACTGTGAGTGAGGGGGTTGCACTGTCACAGCTACTGTGAGTGAGGGGGTTGCACTGTGATACCTGTGATTGAGGGGGTTGCACTGTGACAGCTACTGTGAGGGGGTTTGCACTATGACAGCTACTGTGAGGGTTGCACTGTGATGGCTACTGCGAGTGAGGGGGCTGCGCTGTGACAGCTTCTGTAAGTGGGGGGTTGCACTATGACACTTGTGAGTGAGGAGGTTGCACTGTGACAGCTACTGTAAGGGAGGGGGTTGCAATGTGGCATGCTGTGGGCGAGGTGGTGCAGCTGCATTGTCTTGTGACATCCACATCGACTCATTGTAAACGGTAAATTAACCGCATGTGTTGATCACTGTTATGATATTTCAAACGGTTGTTGAGATGGTGTGGTTTCGTTTATTTTACGCCCGCTTCATCCAACGTTATCTCGTAATAACTCTCATAAATCAGTACTGCAAGTATGGGTTTCAGTAACTGCAAACAACATATCTACATAGGACATATTTTGAGGTGAAACAACCCGCCAGTGAGTTATTTAAAGGGAAAAATACAATTTTGCATAAATATAGTGAGGAGATTCAGAATGATAGTCCTACAAGAGTTATGTCCCTTACACCACAAACCAGCCATATCATGACGGCCTGAAGATCGATGAATGTTATTTCATGTGAGGAAGTGACTATATCGTTTTACGACATTTTTAGCAATATCATGGACTTGAGCACCAGAAATGGGCTTTACGCATTGCACCAATGCCTTCGGAATAGGCTATTCATTGATCGAACCTGGGCCATCGGTGTGACGAGCGAACCATGTAACAACTAGGCTACCCCTATGTTCACTGATCTATGCCACTGTATTTATCACTGTACCAAGTCACAGTCAGGTTACAACTGAAGGCATCGCTTCCCGATCTTACCATCAAGGAACCCCAGCAACTGACTATAAGTGAGTATGGTTTAACGCCACTTCGGGGGTGGGGGTGGGGTGTGTGGTGGAGAGATGAGTGAAAACTCATAATCAGGGTGAATCAATCTGGGATTCGACACCATGGTCATTGGATCCTTGCACGTCTAAGGGAGGCAACTCTTCTTCTGTTAACTATACTGTAATGCTCATTGTCATATGTTTCTATTTTTGTTGTTTTACGCCGCACTCAACAATATTCCGGCTATATGGCGGCGGTCTGTTAATAATCGAGTCTGGACATCATGAGCATCGATCCACGCAATTGGGATACCATGACATGCATCAACCAAATCAGCGAGCCTTACCACCCGATACCATAAGTCGCCTCTTACGACAAGCATAGTCGCCGTTTACGACAAGCATGGATTGATGTCGACAAATTCTAACCCGGGTCTCAACGGGCATTATGGGTGAGCGAGTTAAGATTTAACGTCGTATCGGCGACATCACAGCCAAAAGCTCCTCCGATACCACGACTACATCACACATGATTTTCTATTCCAGTGATAGGAGGGAATAGACCTACATACGTGTCCAGCCTGATTCCCTAGGTACGCTACACCGTAGCGCCAGCGCAGCATACCCAGGGAACCAGGCTGCATGCGTATACGGCATCTCCGCCAATGTCGAGCTACGATAACATCATGCCGGCACATACACCATCAGACTGATATCGACTTTGTTCGGTCACGTTAATACTTTCCACGCCGGGAGTCTGGCTCATACCCGCGTTCCTCAGATGAGAGATAACGAACTTTCTTTAAAAGATCGGCAAACTACACAGTGTGAGCAGAACCAATACATTACAGCTACCCATCGTAGGAAATATTTCCGTGTATTCCAGATAACTCGCTGTTGTATAATAAATAGAGAATCTCACCCGAGTGTCTTTTGATATCAAATATATCAACACTCGTTGATAAAAGTGGAAAAACTCCGAGGCTTGCCGAGGATTTTTTTCCACTTTTATCAACGAGTGTTGATATATTTGATATCAAAAGACACGAGGGAGAGATTTTATTTATCATCCAACATCATTCTTCCAACTTTTTCAGTTTGTAGAAAGTAATAAGCAGTGTCTTAAGTGTAAAAAGTACTGCTAACAGCTTCAGTAGCAGAGCCATCAGTGATGTCATTTGATTGTGACGTCAGGGTAACAATGACGTCACAATGCTCGTCAAAGCATTGTGATGCAATTTCATTGCAGCCATATCTACAGTATAGATATCGCTTGATCTCACCCAAGCGATATCTCCTGTGGGAGCCAGTTTTGGATGATAAAGAGTGATACTCTATGTACTAGTAACATTTACATGTACTGTCATCATCTTTTCTCCTGTCCAACTGGAGTTGCAAAAGAACTGATAATAATTACCCTGATTTACAGCTGTGGAAATAGACATGATGGTTCACAAGCAATGATTTTTTGAAAAAATGACATTTTATTTACATCCGCGCAAAATGATGGGTCAAAATTGTTCATTGTAACATTACCAGGACCACAGAGTTGTTTGTTTGTTGTTTAACGCCACACTCAGCAATATTCCAGCTTTTTAAGGCGGTCTGTAAATAATCGAGTCTTGACCAGACAATCAAGTAATTGACGCTGTTGTATAGAAATAGAGTTGACGACCCAACCGTGTATAAATCATTGCTAAATGAAGATGTATTTGATACGAAATCATTGCTCCTCTCTGTGATCTCAAACCGAAGCAGTCTTGGTAGACACGTGGGT